AACCCTCCACAGGCTTTTCTCACTGCCATAATGCCATCAGGCAAATGGCATTAATCATATCTTCAACAGGATTATAGAAAAAAAATCTTTAAATTATGGAAAAGCACAATTATACAGATACAAGAAACATATATAACCCCAATTAGACAGGACCAGTACAGAAACTCCCCACAGCACATCAGAGTAAAAACAATAAATGTACAGAACAGAGAGAGGGTACAAAAAATTGATAAATAAAAATGACAAGTTATGAATAAAGAAAAAGTCATCAGAATTACAGCTGACTTTTCAATGCAAACAATGAAAGCCAGAAGAGCCTGGACTAAAGAATTCCCAGTTCTAAATTACCATGGACATCAAACCAGAACACTTTACTAAGCAAAATTATCTATCATAGTCAAAAGGGGAATGGAAAATTTTCCATGAAGGAATTTATGTCCACCAAACAAGTCCTTCAGAGAATTCTTGAAGTGATACAAAGGACTAAAGAATGACTATACCAAAGAGGTTACAGAAACAAAAAAAAGGAAAGCATAGATATAGACACAAAATAGGATCAAGAGCACAAACAAATTAAAGTTACAGTAACCAATATACATCTTTCAATAATAACCTAAATATCAATGGCCTCAGCATGTCAGTCAAAAGACACAGGTTAGTAGTATGAATTAAAAAACAAAATCTATCTTTTGCTATCTTCAAAAACTCATCACAACTTCAAGGATAAGTACTACTGTAGGGTGAAAGGATTGAAAAACAAATTCTAAGCAAATGGCACCAAGAAGGAAGCAGGTGTTTAAATTAAGATATCTGAAAAAATAGACTTAATATTGAAGCTAATCAGAAAAGAAGTAAAGGGTCACTTTATTCTAATCAAAGGAATAATTGATAAAGAAGATATTACAATCATGAACATATATGCACCAAAATATGGTGCACCCAATTTCACAAAAACTACTACAGGATTATAAAGCACAGATTAACCAACTCTATAATAGTAAGTTGTTTCAATACCCCACTATCTCCAATGGGCAGGTCACCTGGAGAAAGAACAAACAGAGAGACATCTGAATTAAATGACATTGTACATCAAATGACTCCAATACACATTTACAGAATATTCTACCCAAGCACCAAAGACTCTTGCCTTTACTTCTCCTTCATATCTCCTATTCATGATTCAAGGACTTTTTTCTTCCCTTAGAGACAATAGTAATGCAATTTGGGAGTCTTTTAGACAGACCTACTGAAGGGGTACTCCAATTGTCTCACCCTGCATGCCTGTTCAGCATGGAAGAAGCCAGAGTGGTCTGCGTCCTTATTCCCTATTGGCAATATGGGTAACCCCTTCAGAGGATGGTGCGATAAGAATAGGAGGTAGGAACTGGCTAGGTGGTTAGGGTGAAAAGACCCCAAAGAACAGTAGCCAGTTTCTTGGCTAAAAGTCAAAATGTTCTTGAACCTGTTAGCAACATACTCTGTTCCAAAGGCCAAAAATGTCAAAAGTATTTGGGAGCTTGTATCCAATCCTTAAAAGATTTTAGGGTTATCTCTTCAAGGGGAGAATGTTGGAGGGGAGGGAGCGAACATGGATTTGATCAAAACACCTTATATACATGCATGAAATTCTCAAGAAAGCTTTTGTTAAAATTTAAAAAAAAAAATAAAGAATGGTAGCTGAGCAAGCCAGAGGAAGCAAGGCAGTCAGCAAAGTTTGGTGGTCTCTGCTTCACTTCCTGTCTTCTCACAATGATGGACTGTAACCTAGAAATCAAATAAACCCCTCCCATCCCCCCCCCAAGAATACATTTTCTACTCAGCAGCCCACACAAGTTTTTGTAAAATTTACTACATATTAGGGCACAAAACAAGCCACAATAAATGCAAAAGAACTGAAATAATTCCACGTATTCTATCAGACCACAATGCAATAAAACATAAGCAAAAGCAAAATGTACTCTAGTAACTACATGAATTCATGGAGATTAAACAACATACTTCTGAATGATGAATGGGTCAAAAAAAAGGAAAAAAGAAAGGAAGAAAGAAAGAAGAAAGAAAGAAAGAAAGAGACACTTTAAAAGCAAAGTTCTAAGTGCCTACATTAAATAAAAAGAAAAAAAAACATACAAATGCTTTAACAGTGTAACTCAAGACTCTATTAAGGTAAGAAGACACCAATTCTAAACCTAGTAGATGAGAAAAATAACAAAAAATAGAGCAAAACTCAATGAAACAGAAACAAAGAAAACAATGCAAAGAACAAATGAATCTAAAAACTGGTTCTTTAAAAAATTAAACAAGACAGACAGACCATTAGCCGTCAACCAAAAGAAACAATGAGCAAATGAACAAAATCAGAGTGAAAACAGTAACACCACAACAGACACCAAAATACCCAGAACATTATAATGGGATACTTTTAAAATAGATACTCTTTTAAATTTGGAAATTTAAAAGAAAATGAATGAATTTTTAAATTGATTGAAACCACCAAAGCTAAAGCAAAGTTAAAGCATTTGTTATGGGCTTAATTAAACCCATAGCAAATAAGGGAACTGAAAGAACAATTTAAAATCTCCATGTTAAAAAGCCCAGATGGATTCACAGCAGAATTCTACCAGACATTTACAGAAGATCTATAACCAACACTTCTTAAATTATTCAAAAAGATAGAAACAAAGGGAGAACTACCAAACTCCTATGAAGCCAGTATCACTCTAATATCAAAACCAGGTAAAGTCAGAACAACAAAAGAAAAATATAGGCCCTTATCGTTAATGAACAAAGACAGAATGATTCTGAACCAAATACTCATAAACTGTATAAAGACATGTATCAAAAAGCTCATTCAGGATTATCAAGTTAGTATTAGTCCAGAGATGCAGGGGTGGTTCAAGACACATAAGTCAGTAAATGTCATAAGCTATATAAAATAAAGACAAAACTCACGTGTGCATCTCCATACATGCAGAAAAGGCCTTCGACAAAATCCAACATAATATCATGCTAAAATCTCTAGATGGAATTGAATTGGAAGGAACACAACTCAACATAATTGAAGTTATATAAATAAAGCCACAGCCAACATAAATTCAAATGGAGAAAAACTGGAAGCATTCCCATTAAAATTAGGAAACTTGACAAGGATGTATTAGATCCCCACTCTTTAAAATAGTGCTTTAAATTATTGATAGATAAATAAAACAACAGTAGATTAAAGGTATACTATATGAAAAGAAGTCAAATTATTACTATTTGCTGATGGTATGATGTTATACATAAGGGATCTGAAAAATTCTGCCAGAAAACTGCTATAAATGATAAATACTTTCAGTAAAGTGTCAGGTTACAAAATCAAATAACAAAAATCATTATCTTTTCTATATACCAATAACTAGCAATTGAAGAAAGAGTGCATGAAACCCTCCCATTCACAACCACCTAAAAAATTATCTAGGACCAAATCTAATAAAAAACATTAAATTTCTCTACATGAAAAATTAAATCTTTAAAGAAAAAGATAGACAAAGACAACAGGAGAAGGAAGGACCTACTATATTCATTGATAGATAGGATTAATATTATGAAAATGATGATTGTACCAAAACTATTTATCGATTCAATGTAATGCCAATCAAAATACCCATAAGATTCTTCATGGAGCTAGAAAAAGCATCCTAAAATTCAGATGGAATCACAAAACACCCTGAATATCCGAGGCAAACTTGGTCAAAAAAAGGAATGCTGGGGGGAATCACCATAAGAGCGATCACTCTATATTACAGACCTATAGCTATAAAAATGGCATGGTATTGGCAAAAAACAAAAAAACAAAACAAAACAACCCAGACTGATCAGGGTAACACAATAGAAGGCACAAAACATGAAAGCATAGAATTTTTAGTCACCTAATATTTGACAAAGGTGCCAAGAACACACAATGGAGGAAAGACAACATCTTTAGCAAATGGTGCCAATAGAACTGGATCTCCACTTGTAGAAGAATAAAATTGCAACCTTAACTTTCACCCTGCACAAATGTCAACTTCAAATGGACCACAGATCTCAATATAAAACTCAAAACTCTGAAGCTGTTAGAAGAAAACATAGGTACAGCCCCCAGGATATAGGTATAGGAAAGGACTTTCTAAGTTGTACATCAGTTGTTTGGGCATTAAGGTCGACAATCAACATTTGGGATCTTATTATACTAAAAATCTTCTGTACATCAAAATAAAGAGCAAAAGAAATGAAGAGGAAACTCACTGAGTGGGAAAAATCTGCAGCAGCTACATTCCCAAAAGAGGATTAATATCCAGAATATATAAGGAACTCAGTAACAAAGAAGAAAATAAAAGACATCCAAAAAAGATGTGATAAAGACTTGAACAAGGAGTTCTCAAACTAAGAAATAAAACATGCTAAGAAACACAATAAAAGGTGCTCAACGTCCTTAGTAATTAGAGAATTTAGACAAAAACCACTTTAAGAATCCATCTTACATAATTACGTTGGCTGAGATCAAGAGAGCAAAAGGCATCAAATGCTGGTGAGAATGTGGGGAAAGGGGAACACTCATTCACTGCTGATGACAATAAAAACTTGTGCAACCACTATTGAAAGCAGCATGAAGAACTCCTGAAAAATGAAACTGAATCTCCCATTTGATCCAGTTATAACACTCCTTGGCATATACACAAAGGAATCACCCTACTACAGAGGTACATGTACATTCACATTTGTTGCTGTTGTTTTTACAATAGCCAAGAAATGGAAACAACCTAAATGTCAACTACAAATGAATAATGGAAATGTGGTACATTTACACAATGGAGTTCTACTTGGCTCTAAGGAAAGAGGAATTGAAAATTTCAGGGAAATAAATGGAACTAGAAATTATTATACTAAGTGAAACTACAGAAACACAAGCAATATATGTTCTCCCTTATTTGCAGATCTTGGCAACAATCTTCTCTATGTGAGTATACATACTGATATAACAGCAGAAGACAGGAAAATGGAAAAGAAGAACAGATGCAAATGGAATGAAAGAGCCTGAGTGAGACGGGTATTAAGAAACTGATGTTATCAAGTGGGAAATGGGAAAAAAATGGTAGTATTCTTCTTGGGAAAGGAGGAAGGAATGTGATACAAGGAACCCTGGGAGTAAAGAGGAAGGAGGAACTCAAGAGCATGGAGATAATAGGAGGAAGGTATTCTCAAGAGGAAAATGGAGGCACTTAAACTTGTGAGGAAGGAAGGAGGTTAGACAGTGAGAGAGGCAGGAGAGATAAAGTTTTGGTGGTGTAAAAAGCAGAGGAAAATGTACTAATTCAACCCCGCCCCCCAAATTCACATACAATATCTGAACATGAATGTGTATGTATAACTGAAGCGCTACAACAAGGAACACAGTTGCAGAGAGGGGAAACATCCCTTTGAGTTGTTGGCCAGTGTAGTCCAAGAGACTCCCAAAGTAACACAGACTATTGCACAACCCTTGATTACCTTACAGAACTTGAAAGTAAGACCCTAACATTGAAAACAGGACGTACTTTGGACACAGGATTTGGAGCAATTGAGCTGGAACTGATCAGGTAGCCACCACCACTGAAGGCTAGCTCTCATAGTTCTAGACGTTCCTATGCAAGTTGCTAAGAGAGAAAAATCAATCAATGATCCAGCCTAATCCAAAGCCTAATAACGATAATGACTGGCACACCAAAATATTTCTATTGGTGCAGAAGTGGCACTTTCATCTAGGGGGTAATCAGTAGCTATTTAATCGAACTTAAAGCTTTCTTAATGGGAGTGAACTCATAGGCGGCACTATAAATAGAGCCAAATACTCATGGCTGGAGGGGTCATAGATCCTAGAGAAAGTCCTATCTCTGCTGCATCTCTAGACAAATGAAATTTCTTAGTTTGAACCTTATATTTACAAACAAGTATATCATACACCACTAATCAAAAAAAAAAAAAAAAAAAACTACTTTGGCAACAGAGGGAGGCTATTACAGAGTTCCACAACTTGTCACACATTTAGAATACATGCCTGACAGATGTCCAGCCCTAACTGACATATCTACACTGGAACTTCTACATCTAAGGTTCATGGTGCATAGCAGAGCAGGGTATAGTGCTAATAGTAATACATCCCTCAGCTCTCACCAGGGAAGCTTCCTCATACAACACAGTGCAATGCACACAGAAAGCCACAGCTGCCTAAGTTTTAGAGAATAAGAAACTGCAGGGTGGGTGTCTCTGGATAAGACTCCTATATTAAACAACACCCATCCATGGCTCAGGGACCATTGCAGAAGGAGGGGCAGAAAGATTGTAGGAGGCATGAGCACATGGAAACAAAGCCCTTCAGGCCACTTGAAACTTGCCCATATGAACTTGCAACAATGGTGACACCATACACAAGGCCTGTGCTGACTCAGTCTAAAACTCAGCATAGAACAAGGGAAAAGGACAGCAGGCCTCAACCCTGAACTGATTACTGTTAGGTGAGGGACAGTAGATCTTTTATAAGGGAGTGATTCTAGATCGCCAACTAGACTCCATTAGATGAACTTGCACCAAGGGTCATCTGGGTAGTATTTAGCATATAAGTCAAAATTCATGAAATCTGGTATGGGTCAATGAGGAGGAACAAATGGGATAGGGGCCTAAAATTAATGTCTTTTATATAAAATGTACAGGAACTCAATAAAATGTTTTCTTTTTTTAAGAAATAAAAAGGCCTATGGAGTCTAGTCTGTGGTATCCAAGTGCTCTTCGTGTATCTATCCCCTGGAATCTGGTCAATGTACTGGGTTCTACACTGGTAAGAAAAACTGACTCTCTCTCCAAGCATCTGTCAATTGCCAATAGATATTCAACTGGTGTTGGGAGCTACTATTATAATGGGCACAGCCATTGCTGCATTAGGCTGTGGCAACTTGCCTTGACTTAAGCATTGGAAAAAGAATGCTTCCATCCTGGGAGTTTCCTTGCTCTCTGCTTCTGTGGCCTGACTTGACAGGCTATGCTTCCCTGATTAATTGGCAGTCTTGGAAACATAACTAAAGAGTTCTGTTTCAGTTTATGGGCACTGGAGTTTCTCAGCACCGATAGCTTGGTTTCTTTGTAGAAATAACGAATTATAGTAGCTGCTAAGAGTAATAACAAACAGTACACCTTATATCTAAGATATTATAAATATTATGTGGCTGGATCTTGGGTACTGTCAACATTGGGTGAGTTTTGATTGGTGAAGTAATATACTCTTGGCAGTAATGTAATGTATCCTTGGTTATTCCTTGGTCACTTTCTGTTTAGTGATGTATTCTTAGTTATTCCTTGGTTACTCCAGACGTGATTCTTATATAAGCTTGGTTTGGCTCACAATAAACATGCACTGGCTCATAGACCTCTGCATCTCCTGTGTCTTGACTTCTATCTGTCGTGGTCCCCAAGCTCTTCAGGCTTGGACTGTGGTCACTGCACCGTGACAAACTGGGTTCAGAACTTTCTGCCCAACTCCCTCATCTATGCTGAGCCCATATCTTGCTTTGTTTTGCACAGCTCCTGTGCATTCCTAAAGTATCTGAGTAACAGAACTGAGATAAAGCAGGCTGGCTTTATCTCACATACCTGCTGGCTAGTCACATACCTGCCGTCCCCAAGCTCTTCAGGCTTGGACTGTGGTCACTGCACCGTGACAAACTGGGTTCAGAACTTTCTGCCCAACTCCCTCATCTATGCTGAGCCCATATCTTGCTTTGTTTTGCACAGCTCCTGTGCATTCCTAAAGTATCTGAGTAACAGAACTGAGATAAAGCAGGCTGGCTTTATCTCACATACCTGCTGGCTAGTCACATACCTGCTGGCTAGTTTTTATAGCACAAGACTATGCTATGCACTTTACTGGCAGAGAAAGGTAATCATTAACTTTACCTATCTATGAACCCTTCAAACTACAATAACGACTGACTTGGCAAAATATGGTCATTTGTGCAATAGTGGCATGAATTTTGGGAGTAACTAACCATCTTCTAAATGGATTTAAGGTTTGCTTTAGAATACGGAGTCCATGCCTTGCACTGCTGTCAGGCCCAAGAACTTGTGGTTGCACAGGTCACAGATCACATGGCAGAACCTACCACTCTTATTCTTCTAAATAAACACAACATTTTACTATTAATGGCTTATTGTTATACTCATAGATTAATGCATCGCTCAGCTCTCACCAGACAACTTTTTTTTGTGGTATTAGTTGTAGAATCATTTAATGCAGTGACCCACAAATGATCAACATTCAGAAAATAAGAGACCACAGAGTGCGCAGTTGTAAATGGGACACCTCGAACACATCTTCTCCCCCCAAGGTTCAGGTATCACTGCAGAAAAGTGGGCAGAAAGATTTTAAGAGCCAGAGGTGGGGGATGAATACAGTAAAACTGCTGTTTTGACACCACAGGATAGTTGGACATGTGGACTCACGCCTCTTGATTTAAAAACGTTTAAAGTTTGGGAAGAAATGTGGAAGTAGGATTTGGTTTTGCCTTTAATACAGGGAACAAATCACAGAAACAGGA